GTAACGACAAATAAGTGCACAATATCTCGAAACGCTAATCAAATTTTTATTATCAAATGTTATTTAAAATTTACATTACTTTTTCCTTTTTTTGTATAGTACTCTTTTACCCTTTAGTATAAGTAATGGTTCAGATAAATTCTATGCGCATATTATTTATTTGATTTAAAGGAGTTACATTAATGAACAATAACGTATAATAAAACAATGGTTTAGTTAAATTGATTTAATATCATATGTACTATCAAGAATTAATTCCCTTTTTTGATTATACATCTTTTCATCATACTTTTATCATTCATTTTACTTTACGAATCGATATTCGCAAAACAGAGATGACTAAAAATGCATTTCGTTATTATTTTTTTGTTATTTGTATATATCAAAACATAACAAAAATAGTAATGTAAATGAAAAATTAAAAAAACAACAACAACTGAATAAGGTTACACAAGATGTTTTTATTGCTTTTCATATTTCCAATTTATGATATTACTTCTTTTTCTTCTTTAAAGAAAGAACATTCTCGAACGATGAATCCAGAACATTCTTCTTACGCTTTAATGAATTTGCACTATCACTATCCATTCTCTCAGACCCTTTTGGTTCTACTTTCATCTTTTTGGACTAAATTGGTAGACTTCTTTTTCCGTTTTGATACTGATTTAATTTTAATGTTTTCAACAGATATAATTTCACGCATTACAACGTCAATATTTTCATCATCAGAAAAGTTCATTTCGTGGATTTACAAATAATTTTAACCAAACTAAAATTACAATTGGAATTGACATTCAAATCACAAATATAATTCAAAGACTACTTTAATAAAATGCATTTCATGTAGTGCGCCAATAAAATAGTTTGTTGTGGAACAACAAAATAGAAAAAATATCTATAAACTCAAGAACGCAGAGCGGAGCAGAGCGACGCTCTGCGGTCTTGTTTCTTCTTCGTTTAGCAACGACATTTCGACTTGATTTATATTCATACTTTTACTTCATTATTTTTCTCAATGGCAACTCAATTTATTATTCTATTTGATTTGTGCTGAAGCATAGGACAAAGTAGTCTATCTCTCTCTTGCTCTTGGTTGCCCAAGAAGTTTATGGTTATGTGTTATTTGATCCACTTGTGCGAATGATACGAACCGGTGGAAAAGTTATATTATTTTAATGACAAGTCAAGATAATGAAATGACAGCCTCTATCAACATCACAATAAAATTGTTGGTTGGTGCAATGGCATCAAGAGCGCTCAAATTACACATACACACACCCACTCATATATATTATTCGTTTGAAGAGCCAACAACATTAACCATAATCAATTATGTAGTAATTAAATTCCTTGTTATCGATGTGAAATGAAGACGAGTGGCTTGATGTAAAGTGGATGCGGGAGGAGGCACAAAATATGCGCAAACAAAACACATCGCAGAACGTCAAACGGAAAACGGCAAAATAGAAAGCGAAACAAAAACGAATAATAAAAATAATAGAATGTAATGTTTGTGACGCGCCATCGACCTATAATCAATTATCTAGCGTACGCGACACTAGCACTGCATCCCAACCAGCCGATACACCGTCACATCAGTGCCGGTGCACGTCAGGTCGAAATATGATATATTTAGTGCGTATTGTTTTCACTTACGCATTCAATTAATTCACATTTCACAAAGCGAGTGCCGCGCGACAACTAGCACGGCAACACTATATGAATTATTCAGATGACTTTCGATAGAACAATGGCCATCCAAATTGGGCCTGGAATCATCGAGAGTGAGAGAGAGAGAGAGAGAGAGAGAGAGAGAGAGAGACGTATCGTATTATCCGATATTGTTTCAGACCTCGTTATTGTCAAAACCCACTGTTGTTATATGCATGGGAAATAAATGATCTGTTTGTCCACTAATGAAAGATGATCGCTCTGTCCAAGTTGCCATTGTTTTTATGTTGTGTGCGTGTACGTGAACGTGCAAATGAATTACCTAAATTGTTGACGGCTGCTTCCATCATTACTGAAATTCGACATTTCGAGAAAAAAAACTGAAATCAATTCCCGTTGTCGATGCCGAATGGTCATTTAACATGAATGTCATGGTGAACTGACATTGGGGCGTTAACACAAAACAAACCGTATAAATAAACATGAAAATGGCTGAGTCGAATTTTGCAAAAACCACCCCTGAAATAGAAACAATGGAAGTCATCGAAACCATAATTTGAGTCCAAATTTTTGTTTAGTTTTTCATTTTGCATTTTTTTCTCTCTTACAAAACCTGCACATCGATTTCCATTGGCAATTCAGAACAGCAGCACCAAAGAAGCCCATGGAAATATTGTCTTGGGAGTTTTATCTCATTTTCATTTTAGCATCAAGAATAATTCCAAATTATTTTTCATTCTTCTCATTTCATTGGAGCACAGAAAAAACATGCAATTCGGTAATCATCTCGAATGTATAAAACATGAAGATAGTTCCATGGTTTCTAACATTGGATTCACTATGAATCCGAAGATTTTGAGATTTCAAATAGAATAATCGCGTTCGCATCGCGCATTCTCATCATAATTTGGTACAAATAACGGATTCCTTGTGTAACGGATTCCACTGAGAAATATATCTTTTATGTTTTTGGAAATTTGCCAAAAGCAAACGAAATCAAATCCGTTTGATTCCCTTCGAATGGAATGCATGAGCTTTGAACGGAGAGCAACATCTTTTGATGGTCAGCCGCCAGCCATGGAATTTTTCAATATAATGAGTTGCCGCTCTCGAACGGGAAAAAAACCCCTTTTCCACAACCATATACCCAAGAGAGAGAGAGAGAGAGAGAGAGAGAGAAAGAGAGAGAGAGAGAGAAAGAGAGAGAGAGAGATGAGATCGAATCTTTTGCCAAATTTCAAATGCTTGTCCACATTAAAAATGCATTTATTCTCTCTCATTCTCTCTCTCAGCATCGTATCAATAAAAAATATGGATAAACAAAAGACGATTCCGCTAATCGAATTCACCCATCCCATTCTAACCCCTGGAATGTTGTTGTACAAATTTTTTTTCTCGTCTGAATGATATTATTATTAGGCAGCAGTGGAATCTCGTCCGCAAATCGACCGATTTTAATGAAGACTTTTGTATTCACAACCATCTTTTTGATTGAATTGTTTAACTGAGCGTAACGTACAAAGTAAAACAAACAAGGAAATGCAATACATTTTCAAACACAACAACAACAACAAATTGATTTGATTCTATTGGCAAAATTTCGTTTCAAAAACATGGAATAATTCATTTTTCTTTTTCGGCATTTCCATTGGTGCGTTCAATTTTATTTTATTATAAGCGCCAATGTGATTTGAATGCATTGTGTGAGCAATTTACAAACCAGTCAGCAATACAACAACAACAAACAATGAATACAGTCAATGACAGATAGCTGAGGATATATGCTGAGCATAGAAACTCAGCAAGCTGAGATTGGGATATTTTGACTTTATGACGTGCTATTCAAACAAATTTATGATGGATGGGAGTTTGGAACACATTTTCCATTACACTCCATCAACACTCCACCAAAATTTCTCATAAATTTGCACGAATAGTAAGTCACAAAATTCAAACGTACCAATCTCAGCTTGCTGAGTTCCTTTGCTCAGCATATATCCTGCTAATATCATCCTATACGAACACACACAGTGTGTAATTTTGGAAATATGTATCTCACTTTCAGCCGTTTTTCGACTGACCAAAACGTAATTCGTTCGATGCGCACAAAAACCATATTTCATAAATGTTTTTTTTAACAACACATACACACTCAATGAGGCAAATGGTTCCCACTTGCGACGATATATAATAAAACATGAAAAAAAATCGGCATAAATAAAGTGCATCAAGCGTGAAATATAATTTTCACTCGAGCTTGAAATAGCGACAAACAAAATATAATGGATTTCATGCCATATTATACAGGAATATGTCGATAATTGTTTGTTCACAGCATCAGACAATTGGCAATTTGCAGGCGTTTTTATGCATATATGATTCGATTCGAATTGACATAAATATTTGTATGTGATATTGAAAACAAAAGCAGACATTGTGAATCGCATAAAAATAAAATCAAATCATAACGTAATAAAATATATTCCTCTTGAGCCATTGTTTGCCACAATGCACACAACACACTTGCTGTGGATGCATTCGTAGTTGTTGTTGTTGCTGCTAATGCATGTGGTTTGACTTGAATTTATTAAGAGTGGATTATTATTATTATTATGCAAGTGAGCAATATCTATCAAATTAAATTAAGTAAAATGAATGCTAAATATGAATCATACGATTCTGTTTCTGCACCATGATGATGATGATGATGATGAACTGTGCGCCCAAAGGATTTCGCCTCATTTCGATTCATGGCTACATTACGTTCATTTCATTTATATGCACTCTCAAATGAATTAGTCTTGACACTATTTAATGCATAAAACGTACATTTTATCCACGGACAATTATGTAAACTACATTTTAACTCTGTGGTTACGTAATACTATTCTCGAGGACAATAATTGTTGTTCTGCTTTTTGAATTTAATGTGACGGGTCAAGAAATATAGCCACTCCATATACAAACCCAAATGATGTGAACAGTCTAGTTGTGTTCGAGCTGAGGTTGAAGAAGATAGTAGGAAAAAAATCGAACAATAATCGCTCAGAATTGCGATGAGTATGAAAAATGAGCATCAGCTCATCCGTTTTATTGACCCCGTTAAATACAGAAAACGAAACAGGATAAAAAAAACACGTAATTCTTCATTGTTGATGGACTTATTATTTCACACTTGTTGGATCAAGAACGAACCTGCACGAAAAAATGTATCCCATTTCATCAAATCATTTTCTACTTTTATCCATAATATTCAGCCCCATTTTGTGTCAGTCGCTGTTATTCCATTTCTCATATATATTTTTTTTTCTTCTTTCTCTCTTCCGCAGATTATGTTCGCTGTCGATAACACGACTTACACTTATGATGCCATTACCTCCGGATCTAACGTCATTATCGTTGGCTGTAAAAATGCAAAGCTCAAAACGCACATTAAGGTCTCACGAAATACCAGTGCCACAGACATTTCTTACGGGTAGCAATAGCGTTGGATTTGGCGGTTTGACTGGTGGCAGTGCGCCATCATCGTTGGCTGCATGTAATGTGAACAACACATCGTTTGGCAGCATTGGCGGTAGCGGCGCGACGTCATTCTTTGAAACTGATCTAGATTTACATTTTAGCCTACAATATCCACATTTTATCAAACGCGATGGAAACAGGTTCGTATCGTATTTTCAGCTGTTCGTTTTTCTCTCTGTCTATCTCTTTCTCTCAGAGCGTGTTATGAGCTGACGTCAGCAGCACTAACTAACGTCAGCTGCTGATATTAGCTGCTGGCCAGTATACAAAATTCGAGTGTTACAAAATACGTATTCCTTTCTGGGTGCGAAGTCAAATTTGAAATTAAACTTGACTTGGACCCAGAAAGGAACACGAATTTTGTATTGCAAATGCGTTAAAACAGCGCAACGCAACGCATACTCGTCAGCAGCTGACGTTAGCTCATAACACGCTCTGCTTTCTCTCGCACATACTCATATACGTTTCGTACATACAGTGAATTGCCAAGGTGCAATGTCATAAGTTAAAAATGATGGCGTCGCTCCAGGCAAATCTAATACACTCTTTGCGCTAGCTATCTTTTTTCATTAACTGGAATGCATTAAAATCGAATTTAAAAGCATTCTGTTTTTCTCTTCGCTTGTGATCCAAATTGAAACCACAGACTGCAGATACTGTTGCAAAGGCGTAAAAAATATAAAAGTCGAACAATATTAGGCTATAAAACGTTAGCGGAAGGCATCATTCGAATGGATGCGGTTTTACAAAAATCAATGGATATGACTGTTGAGCTAACCGCAAGCGGCAAATCTGGGCGTCAAGGATGCACCGTTGCCACATTACGAGCGGATCGCGTTTCATCAATACCCGTGGATCATGACAATAAAAATAATAATAGCGTTGTTTTAGCAGGTTCGTTTTTTTCACATGACATTCATTAATCATTATTTCGTAGCAAAATTCTTTACACCTCCCGAGTTTTTCCTCGTCAAAAACAAAAAGAAATGATGGAAAATCTATGACTATTATGAATTTGACGAATCACTCGGGAAGTAAAATAAAAGTTGAAGTTTTATTTTCAATATTTCACTCCATGAATAATAATGATACCGCCATAAAATTTACGATAGGTCAGTGTTTGCTCTCTAATATAAACCAATAAATCCAATGTTATACCTTCTTTTTTTCTCATCCATATTTGATGCGCGCGTAGACCGTGTTAACGAATTTTCCGATGAAGACGAAGAGATTGAATTTAGCTCGGGCGAATACGATCCGAACAACATGGGTGGCAATGGGAGCGGAAATGGGCCAGGCGTCAGCGGTGATCATCTTACCGGTTATGATGCAAAACGAGGCTATGCAATGAAACGTGACCTACGCAAATACAGAAAAATCGACCGAGCCGAAAATGATGGTGAGGTCGATGACGGTGCGCTTGGTGCTAATCCAGCTGATAGTGACAGTGAATTTGAGAATTTGAAAGTCAAAGGCTCGTCCCGAGCCAAAATCAGCCACGTAAGAATCCGAGACGCAGTGCGCATTCACAATTCACATGCAATTGGTTGAGTAAATTGTAAATTGGGTTTCTTCTTTCCTCGTCTCTGTTGGTGAATATTTTAGCAAAGAAATTTCAAGCAGAAAATCATTGCTTTGTTGAAGCGATTCAAAGTGCCAGATGAATTGGAAGGAGGTGGTTCTCGTGGGCCGGGCGCGTTGCGAGGCGAACGAGAATTGGACGCATTATTCCACGAATTGGATTCGTTGTCATGCTGTGAGGGTGATGATTCGGGACCGGATATGGATAGTTTGTCGGTTGGATCCACTCCAAAACCATCGTTGCGACCATTTTTCACGAATTCAAAAAACATGTTACACGAAAATCTAATGGGTTGGTGTAAATGAATTATCTTTTTGATTTCCCGAATTTTGTTTTTTTTTTGCTCTCACAAAACGAAACCATTTTTTTCGTTTTCTTTTGTTGTTGTATTGTTGAGCCAATGTACGAATTATAAAGTGGAAAATTCTACTGAAAAAACTACTTCAATTCCAAACGGACGCGCGTTTCAAGTTCTCTTTCTTTCTCTGTCTATCTCTATTCATCTTTTACTTTCTCGCTCGCGAATAAATTTAACTCAATTACGAATGATAATTGAATGATGATATTAGGAGCGTTTAATGCACACTGAACTCTCCTCAATTAACTGACATGAACGAGAGAAAAAAAAACTGTATCTGTGTCAAGTATCAGTTACGTTTGTTTGTAGTATTGCTATATTGCATTATCACCCAATTTCCATGTCATTTCATTTGGAAGCGAAGAGAAAAAAAGATGTTTGTTATTGGAAATTGGCAACGCTATTCAAACAGCAGCATGAAATGGATTCAAACGACTATTTGACTTTTTATGCTCATACCATTCAATTAAACAAATGCATATCACACCGACTAACCAAATAAACGATAGAAGAAAAAAGGAGAAAAGCAATCAAGTTGGGGAGAATTAGCAAATGATTTGTTTCTTTCATGTTACGTCATTTCATTTTTGGAACGAGCGCGCATCTCATCTCATTTTATCTCAGTCAGTCAGTTTTTGTGTGTTTTGTCCATGTCTCTGTTACTCTCCCACGCTGTATCTCCCCGTCTTGTCTCTCGCTCACTCGTTCGCCATCTCTCTCTCTCTCTCTCTCTCTGTTTTGCGGCATCCATAGAAATGCAGGAACACAACTTGAGCAAATAGCATGAAAAATTTGTCATCATTTCAAATGAAGAACATCACATTGTATTGCGACTAACTAACAACAGTCGAACCATATAACAAACAAACGAAACACGACACAAAAACAAACGAACGAAAAATAAACGAATCTGCATCCATTTAATATATAGTAGTTTATGTTGCATTTGTCTCTCAGTTGAGTCGGACACACATTTTGAGTTTCTCTTCTTATTTTAATTACAACTATTTACAATAAAATATATATTACTATAAGATTTACCAAAGCGAAACGTATTTTGACCAGAGTTCTATGCTACATGCTTTTTGTTCGCGTTATGAATATTCTTGTAGATGATACAATTTTGCATTCGTTATTCCTTTCATTATTATTATCAAACAGAACCGTTCTTTTTTTTTATTCTCCTGAATATACCAGAATAATAGCTGTTAACATTAATATTATTCGCATAAAATTTATGACAAAAAAAAAATCAAATAACTCATGAATAATTTTTCAGTTCAAAATTTTTTCGTTTTTCAAACATAAAAAACAGAATCAAAAAAAAAAAATTCTTCTCATTCGTGTTATGTATATCTAAAAAGTGCATGGCTTATACAAAACGAAACAAAAACCAAAAAAAAAAACAGAACAAAACAAAACCAAACGAATCAATTTCATACACAGGCATTAATCACCGACACACGACCGAAAAATATGATGGACTTGCCGAAAAGAAAAGTGCTAATTCAATCACATCAGGTTTGTTATTCATAAATGAATGTTGATGATCATTTAGATTAACTCTTCTTCCCGTTTGACTAACACCACCATCTAACAACTAACTCAATATATCTATAAATATTTTGTCTCGCTGTCTCTCTCTCTCTCTCGTTCACTCGCTCTCTCTCTCTCACACACACACTCACACACTTTCTCTCTCTATAAATTAACCGAAGAAATGTCTTATTTTGTCTCGATCTTTTGTGATGCATTTTATAAAGACCAATCACCATGCTTGGTGTTTGGTGTCAAAATCCAATTAGATACATCACCAAATCCACAGAAACGAACAGAAACCCAATCTACGGCTTATGTGAATGTATTAGAAAAGTATATCCAATGGAAAATTCACACCAATCTCAATTATTCACACCATCGCTTGTAATTCAGCAAAAAAAAGTCCTCTCTACCCCCTGTCCAGATCAAAGAGAAAAAACTCTCATCTCTGCTCCCTTCACATGTTCACAATCTAAACACCAAAACCATACACAACACCTCCAAGAACAACACTGTCACACACACGCATACACTCACACTTCTTTTATTATGTACTTATATGGATATGCTATTGCTTGACCTGTGCAATTTTGAACCTTACCCAAAAATATAAAATGAATTGAGCAACGGCAATTTCGTTAAATCGACCTTATTAAATTCCAATTTGCATGATGGGATGTGTGGATCATTTTGTGCTGATGAAGGTTTATATTAAGCCACAGTATGTTCCGACACTTGCACTGTCTGTCACTCCTACACACACACCCAAACACACACACACACACGCACGTACAGTCACTCACTCACTCACACGTACACTCTTTTATACTTTATATATGTTATTACACATTTTCTCTAGTGAATGCTTGTTGTGAATAGAACAAAATGTTGTAGATTCTACCTTAGGTTAAATAACGTTTGTCTTTCGACCTAGATTAACAATTTACACACATTTTCTTTACCATTTTTTTTAAATAACTTTTTTAATTATTAACAACGACACGAAAAATTGCATGAAATTCATCGCACTGCCTGATCATAAATAAGAACTAAGGCATTCACGTTATTTATGAAACACATCAGGCAACTGTCAACCCCGTGTGTGTACGAAATTTCATCCAATCTAGAAAATAGAGAAAACAAAAACAAATCTCTTATTCCGAGCATGATGACACCCGTTCCATTGCAATCGCACTGAATTTTTTTTTCGTCCGAATGACCAACCAAATCGTTTACATCAAATATTGCGTTCCCTTGGCCGTTGTCGAAATATTTCTTTATTTTGTCCGCAATTTTATAACAATGAACTCTAATCAACATATTTTCCTAATTTTTTCTTAAAATATATTTCAACTAGAAACCAAAAAAGTGATATCTATATATAAATAAATCCACCCCACCTACTACACTTGTCTAATATTCATTCAGAGCAGTTCATTTCACTTATCTTTACTCTTTTATTGACTGGTTTTCAATTTGGTTTTTCTGTTTGTTTAGATATTTGATTTTTTCGCTTTTAATTTTTTCGTCTCGAAATGAGCCCTATCTACTCCAAAGCTGGTTGTTCAGATTTGGGACCGTGTGCAATGATTTCCTACAAGCTAAGTTTTCATTTTTTTGTATTTAATTTTGGCGATTTGTTTCGATTAGAAAAAGGCGATTGGAAGAATGATAGTTCGGGCAATGAAGGTGCCGCTGGTACCGATCCAGAAGCACAAAATTCAGATCCATCGCAGCAACAGCAGCAATCGGCCAATGCAACTCATAGTCCACCACGTGAAAAGGAAACCGTAACCGAACGACGAAGTAAGCTTTTTCGTGCGACTAGCAATACACCGAATAGTAAGAAGAAACAGTCGCTCAGCCTGACGGCCGATCAACAAGCCACCACACTTAAGTCAGTATTAGATTCATGTTTGTCGCCGACAAATGTTGAACCACGCAAATCACTGTTGGATCAATTGATCCGAACATTTTCAACGGAAGAAGCCGTTCTACCGGATGTTTTGTCCATCTTTGGTCCACCCGAATCACATGGCACCGTATTGATGCAACGTTTGGCGCCATTGCTATCGGTTTCATTGCGACCAACATTTTCACCACAGAATACGGCCGAAGTTCGGGCAGTTTTGCAAGCACTTATGAATAAAATTCATAAATAGTAAGTGGATTTTTCTGATGTTGTGCTTTTCATACCTACTTCTTAGGCTTTAATATTCTATTTCTTCTTCTGTTTCAGTTGCAATTCAACGGCAAAACCACCAACCACCATCAAAGTTCTTCTGGTCGGCGGCGATTGGCTACAAGGAGCGGTATTGCGGCACTATGTTGATTTGCTTGGCGTACGTCCTCCTGATTGGGTCAATCACATTCGTTTTTATATTGTTCCGTTGTGTAAGTGTTAAATCAATCCTTGATGAGAATCTTCAATTTCTTTCATCAATCTAATGGATTTTTCTTTGTAACCATTCCAATAGGTTCTAGTTCCATATCAAGATATTTAAGCGCAATCGATAGTTCGTATGCATCGATGTTTGGCAACGATGGTTGGGCGCAGCTATGCGAATCTGCCGCATCTGTGGACCCAGTTCAATCGAAGCCGGAAATTCAAGAGATTGTTAATCGAATCCAACGATATTTACACACAGCCGGCCCATGCACACAAATTCCCATTGCCGAGGCAATGGTTAATTACAAAGATGAGGATTCATGTCAAATTTTCGTACCGTTCGTTAGTGTAAGTGGTATTTAATCACGCTGTTTGTGTGTCTGCTTTTAATTTGATCCTTCAGACCCAAAGGAAAATATTTGAGCGACACCAAGACAAGTGGAGCTGTTGATTTATCATTTTCTTGTTTGTGTAGGATGTAAAATTGGGCTCAACGGAATCGCATCAATTGTCTGTTGATTTGGATGAGAGTTTGATTTCGGGCCTGTTGCTGCAATCACAGCAAACGAGTGGCAATAGTTTGTTGTCGGGATCGTCACCGCCACACAGTGGTCGTACATCACCGCCCGTAACACCATCATCCGCTCAAACATTGCACCATCAACATTCGTACCAGCAAATTGTGTTGCCGCCGCCGCAACAACAGCAACAGCAAACGCAATCATTTCAATTACAATCACAGCAGGAGCCAATGGAATTGCAGCTTGAATACTGGCCTATCAAATCGCCCATTGACAAAGACAAAAGCTTGGCTAAAGGTTTCGATCAGGGAAAATGCAGCATTAAGGGCACATTTAGAAATTTACAGGTAGATTTTGTGGCTCATTTCATCGATTTCCCTCCACCTCTTCCCATCTTTCTCTTCTTCATACACATTTTCATTCGGAATCCAATTAATGTCGGTTGGCGTGATTCATTTTTTGTTTCATTACTATAGGTGTGCCGACTACCGTTGAATCCACAATCAGGCGAAGTCTCCCAGGGACTGGTTGTCAACTATGCGACCAAGGAGAAGAAACAGAAAAGTAACCAACCATTTCCATTAAAATGTTGCTCGAAATTCATTTTTTTTTCATCAACTCTGTGCCTGTGTGCTTTCGTTTCAGTCATGAGATTGGGAAAGAAGAAGGAGAAGGACCGTGATCAAGAGAAAGAGCAATTTGTTGATGGTGTAGCGCGGCTCATCTGCAGTCCGAATCCAAAGCAATCACATCCAATTCCATTGAGAGGTAAAACCAATGCTCTCTTTTTGCCCACTTCATTCGGCAAACGCATTTTTTTAAAAATTTCTTTCTACTTTTATCTCTTTTGTTTAGTTTATATCGATGGAACTGAATGGACTGGCGTGAAATTCTTTCAATTATCATCACAATGGCAGACGCATGTAAAAAATTTCCCAGTCGGTCTCATTGGCGCTCAATTGACACCATCAGATTTATCCTAGTCATTTTTAAATCGATAAAGCTGTAATATCTGAAATTTTGAATTTGAAAATCAAGCAAAAGAAGCAGAAAAACAAAAATCCAATAACTATACTAATTAGATGTTAATTTAATGTGAAAGAAGAAGAGAAAAAAAAATCAAATGCAACAATTACAACGCAATGGTCAATACTAATTATTGAGATGGAAACATATATGAAAGGGCGCATAATTCATTGCAGAACATGAGGCAATGAATTCAGAACAAAAAACATAATAAACACCTTTGTATTTGTATAATTTGTATGTATGTATAATATGTAAAACATTAAGAAATTGTTCTCTGTGTTTGAATTACTAATTTTTATTTCCTAGTTCAGAATTTGTTTTTCTTCTGTGACAACAGACCCCAAGTGAAGCTGTGGAACTGAACTGTAGAATGAAGCAGAAACAACAGACAAACGAAATCTCGAATGAAAAGATGAAATTTGAAGAAAAAAATCATGCGACATTTATGTCTGTTGGTTTTTGCTTTTGTTCTTTATTTTAATTTGACCAAAATGTTAAATAGAAATTGAATGTCATTTCTTCCTATCCGCCCCATTCCAAATTATTTTTTTTTACTGCATCAAAGGGTGACGCTCAACTCGTTTGCATATAATGTTGTTTCATTTGAATGGGCTACGCCCCACAGACAAAAAAATATATGGTCAAATCAAAACGTGTTCAGTTCAGTTAAATAAAAAAAAAAATGATCCAAAGAAAACAAAGTTTTAGCAAGAATTAGCAAGTAAGTTAAAGGAATTCTGTTGTAACGTATATTAAACCTATGTGGCATAACCTATGGCAAATATTATTGTGTTTGTGTTTTTTCAATTTGAATCTTCTTGACAACACATTACTATTAAACGAATCATATGCATCACAACACTTGCAAACAGTTACGAGATTGCTGTATTCATACAACAACAACAACAACAACAGAAAAACAAACATGAGAATAATAATCATAATAATTACCAATTGCTAATGCGTATCGATATTATTAGGGCATGATTAAATAAAAAAAACAGCAAGTTATATTTTTTTGTAAAAAGTAAATTTTCATGGTTCGCGCGATGATGATGATGAATGGCCGAAAGTTAAATGCGAAAAAAATATGCACAGATCGGCACATAGTAAACATACGTATGTGACATTAATACTTAGATTTGTTTTCCAATTGATTAATCGACAATAGTATTCAATCTCTGGCAAACCATCTGTGTTTATTCAGACTTTAAAGATTTTTTTTATTGTATAAATTGATCGATTTATCAATTATGCCGATATATCTAGCTGTAAATGATGCAATATTGCATTTTTCGCGGGAAGAAAGAGAAAGAAAGGGAAAAAAACAATCCGAATAACCATTACAACCATAAAGCTGCTAGTCGTTTGATAATGATTTAATTAATTTTATTAGATTTTTTTTTCGTTCTAATTTGTAATTGAGCAACATCTCATTTGGGTCATGTTTTCCTAAAATGCAAAAATGTTCCATTTTTTTTCTTCAAACTACGGATTTATTTACAAGCTAAACTCGAATGAATACACAAAAAAAAATCAAGAAAATAAAATCAACAATTGGTTAGAATAAAAATTTAATTTTTTTGACTGAGACGAATAGATTAGAGAATTTTATTGTGAAGTAAATAATGTAATTAATTCGAATTAAGGGAATAGCTCTCCGATTTATCGCATTGTTGCGTTTCTTATTGGTGTCTCGATGCGATAGAAATGATATTGTAAAATTTTTTAAGGAAGGACAAACAAAAATCAACCAACAACAAAAAATAAGAAAGCAAATTCCAACCGTTTTTCTTGCAAACGAATGAGAGAATGAGAATCAATTAAAAAAAAATGGAATGAATTGGGAAAAAAAATACATCGCTTTTATGTTTGTAATTTATTGCTAATTTTTTTTAGCCAATTTTTACCAAATACCAAAATGTATATCCTACAGGTAGGTCATCAAAATACTCATTGAAAGTGTACGTTGTTTTTTATTATTTGTTTTGTCAAACGCAAAAAAAATGACGTGCGAACATTGGAAAATAATAAATTTATATTTAACACACACCAACAAGAAGAAGTGAAAATTTTAAAATGCTTAAATAATAAAAACGAGAATAATTTAAATGAAAACAACAAATATATCAACAAATGAGTGAGATTCATGTATAAAATCATATAGCTCAAAATAACAGAAAGACAACAACAGCAACCAACATTAGCAACAACATGTGCTTCGTTTTTTTCACTTTTTAGCTAATGTCATATATATAGGATTTAATATCTAGATGCATAAATCGAGCAATTAATTACTCCGTTGGATGGACATTAAATGGCGCTAACGTCGAACGAGGCGGTAACGTTTCATCAGCGCACATTTTTGTATGGGTGTATGCCAAATATGAATTGATAGGTGACATACAGAGGACAACACATATCGTTTTGACAAAAAGAAGAGGAAAAAGAAGAGAAGCATACGAGCAAATGGAATTAATCAAATATATGTTTGTTGCTCAATGAGCAATGCTCATGACATATTGTACACGCTGAACTGAGTTTTGATTTTTGAACACACACAGAGCTAAATATTTTAACTGGAAACGTTGTTATTTTCAATTTTCGTGGAAATAAAATGTAAATAACTAAACGATCTATTTGGAATAAATGCATCGATTAAATTTTAATCACGGCTTAATCACTTTTTGTTGTTGATGCTTGCATTAAATTACAAAACAGCAAATAAATTCAGCGTATATAAATTTAATTCATACATTTATGTCAAAATTAATTGTTTGGATTATTTTCCGCTGGTTTTACATGCCGAACAACTCCGATGAAATGGCTAATAAAATGCTGTTTTATTTGTCGCAGCACGAATAGTTTTTAACTTGTAAATGTATAACAAACAAAGCCATCGTAGAGCATGTTCAGCCATCGCAGAGCATACATAGACGTAAGTGGAAATCAAAGGAAAAAAACATCAAAACAGGAATTTCAACGAAATTTTTTTTAGATAATAGTTGACACGTTTTTAGTACTGAACTGCTTGATAAAGAACATTTTATTGAAAAGAATATCAGCAAAAGAGAAAAAAAAACACGGACATCTCATCTATTTGTAGAAATTTGATAATTGAACGAACGAAAGAGAGAGGAGTTAGGAGAGGAGAAAACAACAAAATCAAAAAAATGAGTTCATAACTTTGCCTGCATTTCTAGTAAAAGTTTTTCTTAAAACGCATCAAATTTTACCAGGCATTTGCAATATCGCATGTAATAATAGCATGAGTTCATTAGTTTTTCCCCTGAGGCAAAGAACCACTTTTCTCTCTTCACATTTTTAAAAAAAAATTGATCTCAAAAGACTAAAAAAATATGGATGCAATGATATAATTCGCATAAATGATATAAAATAAGGCTGAAAATGAATTCAAAATGGAGAGTAAGTAGATCAAGGCAAATTATTAAAAAGAAAACAAAAAAAAAATGTTTTTGATGTCCATTGATGACGAAATTGTTTCGATTGCCTGAATGAAAATGAATGAATCGAATTGATGCAATACATAAACTACCGTGCAAAAGTTTAGAACCACGAGGTATTTTTCATACAAATTGACCATTTTTGGTGGACTCATTAACATTTTTCGGAAACACCTGCACTCTTGATATTTTGTGCATAGTTTCTACAACGTTTCAATAGTAAATCACAGAGGTTTCATCAAAAAATATTCATGAATTTCAAAAAATATAGCAATTTGAATTTGTACTGTGTGAAAAATGATCAAATTTGTATGAAGATTAAAACAGATCAAATTCAAATTGATATATTTTTTAAATTCATGAATATTTTTTGATGAAACCTCTGTGATTTACTATTGAAACGTTGTAGAAACTATGCACAAAATATCAAGAGTGCAGGTGTTTCCGAAATATGTTAATGAGTCCACCAGAAATGGTCAATTTGTATGAAAAATACCTCGTGGTTCTAAACTTTTGCACGGTAGTGTATATCCCGTATGGACAGACACAGAATATTCGTTAAAAAAAATGTTGCTCATAGTAATTGCTATCAGATTATTGTCTGCATTTTTTTTTCTGATTTCGACACAATAAAACCCAATAACAATGCTTAATAAAAAGAAAAAAATATATATATCTCGATGTTCATCCAGTTCACTTAATAGCCATTAAGCTGCATTCAATTAGCCGACTTGTTTAGAGATAACAACATACATACCTACGAATATCAAAAAGCAACAAGCTGAAGAAACGAAAATGTGAAAAATCAGTCAGTCAGACAGGCGTTGATGATTAGGTGTTATCAATATATAGAGTTATTCACATGTGACATGATAATAAAAAAAAATTTGTTTGGATATGTGTGCGCTTCTGCAATTTCAAGTTGAAAATTGTTTCAACACTTCAGGCTAATATCACGCTGTATCGGGTACTATAGTAGTGTGACACACTTCCGCACACCGACGATACATTTCAGTGTATTTCTATTCACTCTTACTTTCGCTTCAATGCGCTCGCACTCTGTTTGCTCGCGTCCAAACCAAATTACCGCAGTAGCAGCAGGTAACAGCAGCAACAACAGATATATGTTACAGTTTTACTTTCATTTGATTTGTTTCACAACAATTGAAACTTCCGCTAATTTTGACGGTGAAAGTTTTTCTTACCGTTTGAAATTTGTTCCGCATTTGATATAGTTTTTCGTTGTTCATTAACGCATCCACATAGATATATTCCACGTAACTAATTGGTGATGCGCATGAAAGTGCTAATATGGAAATTGAGAAAACAGCGAAGCGCATAAAATGCATTAATTTGGTATATATGTATATATATATCGTCCATTACGTTGCGTATGCTCCATGGCATTAATTAATTCCATAAACTGTCTGTGCGTGTGTTATGCATTCACCGCACAGACAAACTACTGATGCAATAGAATTTAGAATTCAAACTCTTACCGAATAATTAAAAACACCATGCAATTGACCAATTCCTTTCCCTATTCATTTATAAACAGCAGTTTTTGTTTTCTTTTCTTCAAATCAACGATTCTTTTTATTTGAAAATGATTTTGATTTGTAATTTTTTCAAAATCAAACGAGCGAAATGAAAGAAAAATTGCATTTAGAATGAACATTCGCGAATGGATAGATATAATTTGTTGATTATTGTGATGAAAAATAAAAAGAGAGACAAAACAAAATAACAGCGATATTTTACTTGGGCCCAACATACATTGTATGCCAAAAAAAAGAAGAAAAGAAAAGAAAAGGAAATTCATATGATCCAAGTAAAATTACGCTCAACTGAACACCGCTCTATTTTAAATGAAGAAGAAAAAGAAAACATGGTAATTTTATCGAGTATTGAGCATTTTAAAAATTACAAAGAAAATATTCACAAAATTATACACAATTGTAAACAATTACATGAAAATAATAAAAACAAAATATTTGAAGAGAAAAAAAATACTGATTTTTCGTTGCTGTGTATAAAAAAAAAGTTCTTCGATGAAATGTCACATAAATGTAAAAAAAAAACAAACAATTTTTCCGTTATTTTGATTCGTTGGGGAAGATAAAATCGTCGGCATTTTGAATGCCATTGACAATGATGCATTGGTTTTTAAGGCCATTTTCACCGGCTATGCCGTCGACGGGCATGTGGAAGGAGAATTCATCGTATCGATGTGGGGCGGTGTATTCATTTAGATTTGAATTACTATCACTTAATGAAGCCAACGACCATACAGCGAGATTTTTCGTTTTCCCATGGCGTCCAAACACGTAAAACTGCAAAATGAGCAAAGATTTTAATGAGACACACTGTTTTATGCAAGGAATTCATCTTTCGATTATACTTACACGATTTTGATCGTCGATTAAACAGCCAATGATAACAGCCCAATGCGCCTTATGGCCATTTTTTAAACAGGGAGCATGATTAAAATCCGAGTCGTAACTGTTGATGGGTTTTGAATGGAATCAAGATAGATTGCATAGACTGATGTAAGGAAAAATGCTATGGAAAAATTCAATGAATGCTGCTAAGAGGAAGAAGAATAGGAAGAAAAAAAATAGAAGAGACCCAACAAAACAATTCCCGTTTGTCGAAATTCAGTGTCAAGCCAATAAAACGAGTCAAGGAAATTGGACTAAAAATAAAGAGAGTCTGTGTCGGTCCATGTATTTATAGCATTATCGACACACGCACACACGACACGAATTCTTCGGTTCTCGGTGTGTAATTTAGTTCAAGTTTGTGTCATTGCCATAATTGTTGTAAATTCAAAAATCGACCAAGAGACTTGATGACATGCTGTTTGGTTCACAATTCGAGCAACATTTTCATACACATTTACATCTCGTGCATTCTTTTTTTAGACAATCACATCAATACACAAATCGGTTTGTTGCTAGCGCAGATATTTGATGACAACAAGTGTCAATGTGAATCGTAATTAATTGAATTGGCAAATTCACGTCACTGTTCGCGAAATGTTATGTCTATGGTTTCGGGGTTCAAAATACATTTCAAAAATGCTTTATGTTTTTTTTTTTTGTGATTGAAAAGGATACGCAACTAATAGGCAGGCACCATTCTTGAGTTCAGTCTTGATGCGATCACAGTTGAGTTCTCCGGAAAAGCATTCAATGGAAACGGGATAATTGATTGAATCGAAGACAGATTCAGCGAGTTCCTTTAGATCTTTGGCACAGAACATTTCGCCATGGTTTGTGAATCGTTTCCGTTTGGCCAGCACAAAAATATCTTCTGTTGATGCTGTGCCACCCGTCAGCATATTCAGCGCAGTGAGTCCACATGTTGGTCCATTTTGAATGATTGCTTTGATGTTGGTTTTAATGCGAAAATATTTCGGTTTCGATTTACTGCACACATGAGCCAATGAACTGGCCCTCTGCACTTCGGGCACTTCATATGCCCAGCCACAATCACTTTGAATCCCTGAATTTGTGTAAATCGGACGATTGTAACGACATTCTTTTGATTTTGTTATTAGCCCTTGAGTCGGTGGTGGCACTGGCACTATCGAACAATTCCCCGCTGACATTTCTTTCTGCTCGCACTATTTTCGCTTCCTTTATTTTACAAAACACAACACTAAATTACAACTCAACCTAACAGCTTACAAAATAAAATAACAAATAAAAAAGCAGCACCAACACTCCTCTCTTTTATTAATTTGGCTAGTTACTTCTGGTAATTAACATTTAGAGTGTGTTATGTTATTTAAAAAAAAATCATTTGGCACTAAAATGAATCTTGTATCTATTGTTTGATTGAATGCTAAGGAATTTCTAATTCACCTGTTTCGTTCTGTCACATTGCCTAAAATAAATGAACAGAACTCACCAAAATAGCACCAGTCATAGGCATACGCACACATACACGCACATCGACAAGCGATTTATTTGTGCGGGTGAAACATGAAGCAGTGACAGTTGTTAGAGCAGTCAAAATAGATGTGCGCAACGCTGCACTTGTTCCGAACGTGAAAGCGACAGATGGACATTAGAGTGAAGGCATTCACACCAAACAGTGTAAGCTCTGCGTACGAATCGAATATTTGCTATTCGAAATGTCTCCAAATCTCCATCGCAAATGGAGACGGTCGATTGAATTTCCGATGAAAGTTTCGATGAAAAAACTTTATTACCGAATTTCCGTAGCAAAAAATTCAACTTGGAAAATGGCTCGTTTCCAATTAAAAAAAATGGACGCGCTAAAATGAAAATAGTCAAAAATTTGAACAGTTTGCTTCAAATTTGCAACCAAATTCTCAAATTAGCCAACCTTAATGAGTGCTCTCCGTTTGTGTTTGTAAAATTTGCATTCAAAAGAGCGAACGTAAAAAAAGGAACAGTCCTTTGAATCCTTTAATTGTTTCACCACAATTAAAATGGTAAAATTATAGAAAATTTGTGCCGCAGAGAAATGAGCTGCATGCGCTAAGTAGCGTATAATTAAACACTTAAAGTAGTGATATACTTATCCACCGTGCTTTTTGCACGTGTCTGTTCACCAGAACCCAGGTTTAAAAATGATATAATCACATGATAATTATGGTACAAACTTCACGTTTGCTTTAAACTTACATTGTTCAGCAAAAATCTAAACAATGTTAATATTTGATGAGTGAAATGCTCCCTCTCTTCGGTTCCCTCTTCCTTTCTCCCGGTCGTTTCACCATTCATTGGCGAAAAATTCACACCAGAAATTCGGATTGGTCATGGGAAAAATGTAGGAGGAAAGAAATTTTCCATCCCAATTTCGCACTTAATCTACATACAAATTAATTGAAACAAATGCACACTTCAAAATATACGAATAATAAGAACGATGGAGTGCAAGAGGCGGGGGAGAAGGAAGAAGAGCGAAGAAAAAAGTCGATCGCTTTTGATGTAGCATGTAATTAAGCTTACACGAAATGTAGGAAAAAGTGGCGCGTTAGTTGTGGTTTAATTTTCAATTTCTTGGCACATAAAGTAATAATGAACTGATGCGATTAAAACGGATTCGCAAACAATACGCGTTCGCCATGGGAAAAAAAGTGTAAAAACGGAGTTCTCTCTCACTCTTTCTGTCGTTAACATGCAAAATCGCATGTTCCATTCGTCGATGCGATATTTGTATGCATTCGTAGATGGTTTCCGTTTGACTCGATGCGATTGCTGATAAGCCTCATTGCCGTTGAAATGAAGCGAACTCGAGTAAAATATAGTGTTGATGACGATGACGATGACGGCGACGACGACGACAACAAGAGCAACTTGGCAGAAGCATAAGGAGGAGTACAATGAGGTGGAGAACGAAAGTGACTTCGTAGTAGCAACATGGTGATATTAGTAATAGCCATAATAGCAATGATTTCATGTTTTATCTCTTTTTGGTATTTAAGTATCTTGCATTTTGCGATATTCAATACCGTGAAATTAAAATAAATTATTCATCTGTTTGTTTGGAACTTGTTTTTCCTCATTGAACATAGCGCACGTTTGCTGCATGTAAGAAGCTCCTTGTGTGAGATGTAGATGGTCTTAGTGCCAGTTTGATCTTTTGCTTCCTCGTTCGCTTGCTCTCTTGTTTCATTCTCATCGAATTGAATACAATTTCCACACAAGTCGTCGAAATTGTTCGTCGGTACTTTGCCTCTCCTAATCGGTTGGTATTAACAATACGTAGCCGCGTTGTTTACTTCAATTTCAAGCAATTCTCAATACAAAGTCTTGGCTTTCATATGCAAGTTGCTTGGCTTCTTTCTCTGTTTTCCTCTGTCATTCGCTGCGAACACATCTTCTGCCATATTTCGGCAAAGACATCGGCTATCTGTGGTACGTCTGAGATATTATGTACTTCCGTTTCCCGTTTTCAACTTGCCAAAACCCCATGCATAATTAAACACTTCACACATTTGCACAAATGGATAGTTTTGTTTGGAAAATTGCTGTTTATGCTAATGCAAGCACTGAGTATAGTGACAATAGCAGCAATAAAATTGGTCGTTTCTATGCGCTGTTTTCAGCCATTGAGCATTACAAATATTCAATGAAAACGGGCCAATGGAATGGAAATACACGAAAGAGAAGAAGAAGAAGAAAAAAATAATAAATTGAACAGCAACAGCAACACACTCAAATGCTAGTTTCATCTTGCATCTTTGGCATGTTCGTTATCGAAGCCACAACGATACTGTGGTAGAAGAAGATGTCGCGTATACTGCATTTCGTCAGCTATCGATTTGTGTTGGATTTGGTGCGGGTGTTGAGTTTGGAATTCGTTGGCGACAGCCAAACCAAATGCAAATCCACAACGAAATTATCTATAGGATATCTGTTTTAAGTTTTGAACGGTACGAATGGAGCGATGCATGGAGGGGATGCAATGGAGCATACATATCAACTTTGGCCAACCGACGCTCAATGCATCGATGAAGAAGGGAAACAAAAATTTTACGCTAAATATCGACAAACCCAGCCGTTTGTCTGTTGGCAGTTAGAAGCTAGAATTTTTTGCTCAGCGCCAAAGTGAATGTGTTGGTCTTGCCGAAAACGAGCAACCACCAATAATGAACGTGAAGCAGCGCGTTAATACATATTTGAAAAGTAATCTAAGCACATATAGAAACAATTTTGCGAAAAGTGCAGACCGAGCGCACGCGGCCTGAACAGAACATGGCATCAAAAACGTTTCGTGGTAAAGCGCGGAAATTCCCGTCTATTGGCGGTGGTTCATGGGTTATGAAGGCATATGGGCTGCTGCTGTTGTTGCCACCAATTTTCCCAGGGATAACATGTTGTTGAATATCTTTTTTGGTGTGCGAGCATGGAATCTTGCTGGCGGATCTGAACCAAACACACACACACACATACATGCAACACCGTAGAAGAAATAATACAAGAAAACTAATCCCAATCGTGTGCGATTCAATACGATATGCCGATCGCTTGTCTCGAAAATGGTGTTTTCAAGTACAATTTAAATAAATGTTGCCTGGTGTGCTGTGTTTTTTAGCACTACATGAAATGTAGAGCTACTAATCTGCTCTTTTTTTCCTAGATACTTTTTGAGTGTTGAAACAAATTATGGTGAATTTGAATTTTATGCTCATATTTTTTATTTAATTTAAAACCGGTGCACTAACGACAAATGAGTGCACAATATCTCGAAGCGCCAATCAAATTTTTATTATCAAATGTTCTTTAAAAATTACATTAATTTTTCGTATAGCTGAGTCTGGCCCAAAATTAAAGTGATTTTAGATTCTAAGCTCATATTATTTATTTAAATTAAACCAAGATCTTGTAATTCATTTTGCAAATAAATATATTACTCCGAAGTTACTTTGATGAAATACATTTCATGTAGTGCGCCAAAAAATAGTTTGTTGTGAAACAACAAAATAGATTAAGTAACTAAAAACTCAAGCGGAGCGAAGCGAAGCTCTGCGGTCTTGTTTTACTCTCATCACCTTCCTACACCTCGAAAGTGTCTCTAGTTCTCTCTCGTTTCGTTCGCTACCCCATTTGGTCGACTTATGCTTTACATTCCTGCCGAAAATGTGTTGTCTGCTGATTTTCAGGCATTTTGAACATTTTTGCAAATGGTGTGTCGAAATATCGGATACATATTCAAAATGATTATTGTTGTTTTGTAATTTTTCGTGCTATTCGGGTGTTACACATTCACTCCATTCGCTTTTTAGCAATATTGCAATAATGCATATGCATCTAAATATGAGACTGGTTCTGGTCGTTAATATGAATTTTTATGTTATCCCTTCTATGGCTTGTTTTTTTTATCGCAAGATTTCGAATGCCCTTACCGCCGTCGCATCGCTTTTTCAGAGTTTAAGAACGCTCACATTGCTCAGATGGTGATGCGGATGCGGATGCGGATGCGACTGTCGATGTTGCCGCTGCTCTTGCTACCTGTAACCGCCACCGGAGCTGCTATAGATTGTTGTTTCCGATGTGTATAAATTGAAAGCAATACACATCCAATGGGAATACCGGAAGAATTATTTATGGAATTATTTGAAACTATAGGGAACGGCATTTCATGATTACAAAAATATAATATTCAAACTGTCTGCACATGGATTGGGTTGGAAGCGGTATGTTCGAGAATGTATTACTTTAACATTGATCGACATCATTTGAGACGCCAATCAGACAAATTGATCGTCGTTGTACGAAACGAAACCGAATGCTCGTTGAATTTTTTTAAAAATTCAATATCAATCGACAATTAAACGATTATTTCGACTCGATTTTTTTTGTTCGTTCGTTTCGTGACACGATACATATGGCAAAGAGAAATAGTGATGGTACGAATCGACGCTTCTTGGAAAGTGTGTCACTCTAGCGAGTCATTCGATTTATTGACATATGACAAGGGAATCGATGCTATGGTTTCTTCACCAAAGCGAACAGCAAACACTTATATTGAACATCGGAATGAGTTTACGATCGTGCAATGGCACTTGAGGGTATATGTGTGTGTGCGTTGTGTTCGATAGACGATTGCTTGAAAAAGTGCACTCTGTGACCATAAATTGATGGATATAAAAGAAAAAGGTTCAAATGTAAATGGTGAGTTGTCGATATTTTCACTTCACCATTTGCATCATATCTTTCCGTAGACCGTAATAACACTCTATTGGAATTGAGCGTATGCATTTTGTGTGCGTCTTCTTTTCCCCACCTGAGGTGGATATGAGCGTCAAAGTGGAAAATGCATGTCAGTAAATATGTGAAAATGCATCGCAATTGACGTTAGAATTTCATCAACGAATATTTTACGCATATCAAAATATGAAATTCTCATGCTCTTCAGCAATAGCCAGATGTGGGTGAACTTAGAGATTCTAGATGGCTCAAGGCTCATCCAACATGGGGTAATTTTTTTGGGCGTCAAAACTTTCGAAATTCTGAACTGAAAATCTGAAATAGGATAGGTGCCCCAAAAAAAATTAAAGAGCAAAAAATGAACGTTCTATTTTGGAAGTGACCAGATACCGGGTTTGTATTTAGAAATCCTAGACCAAAGTTAGAACCTTCCTTTTCCACATCTGGCAATAACATAATCCCATACAAGGAAAAAAAAATTCCATATCAAAGTTATACCAACTCGTGCAATACACAAAATTCAACATAATTTCATATGACGATGGTTGTGCGCATGTGTGTGTGTGTGTGTGTGTGTGATGCAATGATTATGCTGCACTGAAAAATGCCATTCTCAAAGCACTTGAGACAAACATTTTAATGTTTGCTTGTTGCATTGGTTTTCGTCTTCCCTTTTTTCGCTAGAGCACCAAAAAAAAACCAAGCATCAGCGATACACACGACATCAGAAATTGCTTTTGAAACAAGAGAAGAGATGCGGACAAGAATAAAAATTCATGGAATAACTGTGCTACTCTGTCTTCATCTTCGACGATGGTATGTGTGCATTTTTTTCGGAACAAACTTTACCGGGTCTTATTCTTTCTTCGCCGAAGAATTGGGAGTTTTAAAAAAACGGTAGCTTTTAGCGTTCCGTGCTTTGTTCCCACCAACGATGCGCATCAACATTTGAAAGAAGTTTTTATTGTTACTTTTTCAGAATTTCACACATCCCATCGTTGTCATCGGATGCGCGTGTTTCAAAACTTTGTAAAAGATTGCATTGGCTTCTAACTTCATATTTTGTATTGTGTGTGTGTGTATGTGTGTGAATGTTTGCACAGTGCACACTATCTGTCGCTGATTACAGTGGGGCACGTACAACGTACGTATATTTTGTGCGGGTTCTGAAAAGACAAAATCGTATGAAGTTCTCAAGTGGATTTAGAACAAAAATGTTCAAGCGGCTTCATTTTCTAACGACATCACTTTCTAGTTGTTAAAGTCTTCTTCCATACAATATCCATATTTCAAATGAATCACATTGTATTGAACGTTTCAAAAATTGATTGAAACTTCTTATTTAGACCGAGAGAGAACCAATTATAATTTGTCTATTTTTGCTTTACAACAGTTCATGAATAAATGAAAGAACGAATATAATTGAAATGCTTGTGTTTCAAATTGATGCTTTATTCACACAACAAAACATCACATGTCGGACATTTAGTTCGATTTATTGAATGAAGTGTTGTCATTTTCAAACTGAACCAAACTGAATGATCTAAATATACATACGAACAATGATACTATTATATGTAAATAACAGCAGAGTTCATTGGCATTATACTCGCCTGAGTTTGGCATTTATTTTAATGGATTCCATATCTATTTTTGTGGGGCCTTTCTCATTAGACTGTACGTCTGTTGGCTGATTTGACTGTATCTGAGATGGTTGATTCGGCTGTATTTGGAATGACAGTATGGTATGTGGTTGGACTGGTTGATGTGATTTATTCTGGATTGGCTGCTTAAATCGTGCCTGAGATGGTCGATTGGACTGTGCTTGGAACGGATGACTAGACTGTTGTTGATCTGGTTGATTTGACTGCACTTTTGTTGCTTGATTTGGTTGCGATGACTGATTCGACTCGGCTTGATGTGTTTGATTTAACGGCGCTTGAGCTGGCTGTGTGCTATTTAGTTGTGAATGATTTTCATCTGGTTTGATTTTCCGTTGATTCCATCCCGTCAAGACACATGGCCATATTTCATCCGTGATGTTTGGTTCAAAGTTTTCACTCAAACGTTCTGCTTTTAATGGAAGTCCCTTGTAACGTTCAGGCAATGAAATTCGTGTCGTTTTACCTCCGTTCGGTACATCCAATAAAACAGTACGAATGTCACCGATTTGCAAACACAGCTGCATTCCAAACATCAACTCTAACGAGCCCATCAACTATTTATGCAAATCGAAACATTTTTAATTTACATTTTTGAATTCACATCAAATCATTAAATAAATCACACTGACCAGAAATAGCTCAATAAAAACGGCATATGTTCTCTTCATGATAGCAGATTCACTCGACTTTCTTCGACAATTTAACAATTATAGTGTATATATCATCACTTACGAATGAAACGTTTGCATAGTATAAAAATTTCAGTGGATTAGCTTAGTTTTGTTCGCTTACAGTTGTATTAGTTGTCATCAAATCGTCATTCGCATAGGGAATCAATTCGATCTATGTATAATTAAATTTCGCGAATACGTGTTGCGCACTGAAAACTCACATTGACTCAAGTGAACGGTAGACCGTTTTGTGGTATAATAACAGAAGTGGACAAATAATATCGTACAAACCAAATGATTACGCGCGAAAGAAAGCTGAACGTTTTGTGTAACTACCAAGGGGTAGACAGATTTAGAAGAACAAATTCAATGAACACAAGTTTTGTTCACATTGATTGACGATTTTATTGACTTTTTTTTTCGAATGAACAACGGAGTTTTTAACGTATTTTTAATACTTCTGTTTGTATAATGAGCCAATCATATTACATGAATTTAAAAAAAACGGCTCATTTTGTGCGATTTGGTTCAAACCCCTTCCACAAACAACAGATTTTATTTCGAAAAGCAAATGTTTACTTTGAATCTGGAGCATTATACAATGCGCATTATTATTTATAATAATTCATACTGTGTAAACTATGGAATCGATCTATTGTTCAAAAGTCCGAGAGGCTTTATCATCAATTGGTTGCTATCTTGTCTTGTTCTGGCTGAAAATAAAGTACTCCCTACTGGTAGTCGATTGCATCAGTTGATTCAAAACTTTGAAACTAATTAATTATTGATTTGATCATTCAGATTGAATACCCATGTACAAATGTACATCATGTGTCCAATTATGTTAGATCCAGTGTTAAAATTAATTAGATAGAAACGATGGTTAAAAATGTGCGCTAAAACTCGCATAAATAAAAAGTTCAAACTCAACTGCATTCTATACATTAAATGAATGAATTAACTTTTGGAAAATAGATGTTGAATTCTTCTATACGCTACATTTGGAAACAAACTTTATGGAATAAACGGAGTCGACGAGAGCAACGGCAATGAGATTGAGAAAGAGAGGAAGAGAGGAAGAGGAGAAACGAGAAACAAAAATGGAACAACAGCACAGACTGTAGAATATCGGAACAAAAAAAAATCGGTTACGAAGATGTATGTGTACGAGCTGGTATGCAGGTGTAGTAAACCCTCAGAAACGCTTTTAATGTTTTCAAGCGTTGAAAAAGTTTTCTTCTCAACGAAGAAAATAGCTTTTCGGTGATTCCATTCAAAGTGGACCAGAAGAAATGACCAGTTGTTTTATATGCACAGAAAAAACTCAGAGCTCAATACGACAAAAAAGCAGCAGAAGCAGCAGCAGCAGCAGAAAGGCCCAAGCAAAATAGAAATAAAAGTAACCAGAGAGAAATCAAAAAAAAAGCTGAAATAGTTTTTATGCATTTCCAGCAGTGCCGGACGATTTGTATACACGGCCATTTAGCACAATTTTACGTTTTCGAGCTGTTTAGACATTACATTTGCCATTAAAAAGCTGTAATAACTCTGAACGATAGCCCTAACAGAAGTCATCATTAGAATTATTCGGATGGCGTACAGCACATGGAAAAAATAAGAACAGCAGCAGCAGCAGCAGCAGCAACAAAAACTTTACAATGTTGAACGGTATACCTTTGATCGTTTGACGTATATATTCTTTCAGGACTTTTGTGCATTTCTTTTTTCGCCGGCATGTGCATGTGCAGTGCATTCATTTGTGTGTATTCGCTTCTATTTGTATATATCCATTAGCAAACGACGAAGAGGAAGTGGGCGATGAAGAAAAACTTTCAACTTGGCATGTAGTCTCTTTTGAGACACATACACACACACACACACAAATCGAAACTGAAAAATTCCAAACCAAAAACTACATAATGGATGAAAAGAAAAGAAGAGAGAACATTTTTCCACTAGTCAATAACTTTCGTCTTTTTACATCTTTGGGCATTTGCTTTCAGTGTTATTCGAACGCATTCAAAAGTTGTACCTTTTCGGTTCTACGTTCTTACATCTATCTCTCTCTCTCTCTCTCTGACTCTCTCTCTCTCTCTCTCTCTCTCTCTCTTTCACACACACACACACACACATTTTCACAATCTATCTCCTGCTTTTGGGTTTGTCCGATGAAAGGATGAAATTACCGTTAAAACGAAGCACAGGGAATTGAAGTTTGTGTAAGTTATCTAATCGAGAATTCAAAGTTCTAAATGACAGCCATTGCATTACTATGCACATCACGTTGCTAATGCTAAACATGCTAATGGCATCATATTATGGTATCACTGTGTTAATAATTTTCGTTTGTGATTTTTGTGTGCCACAAAGTTAAAAGGATCCAGAAAGCCACTACTTTTTTTTCGCCACATTGTATCCCGACGCAATCTTGGTCCTGGAGCAAATTTCCCACTTAAAGGCATATTTCCCACTTAATGGCATTCCATGTTCGCCTTCACATCTTAAATAAATTGACAATCGCAGAAAAACAAGCAGCACCAACAAAAACAAACAAATAAATCCAATATACGTCACATACCAATCGTTGGAAGGCACATCGAGTCGATTCAGCAATACTTTAACCACGATTCATTCCGTCCGATGGAGTGAAACAAAGGGCATGTCTACAAAGTTAAAAACAATAGAAAGTGGTAAATACAATGGTTTGGCAAGAACTTCCCAAATGTAACACATAAATTCCCTTACATTTCCATTATTTGTTTCGCCACCATACGTTGCCATAGCCCATGAATCGCCAGCATTTCATCTCCAGTACATAAACAGAAAGATAGTATAGCCAATTCTGCTGTTGTTCATAATATGGTTTTCGTTACTTTCCTCGAGTCGGGCATCATTCGTTGGCATTTGGCGGAGTGGATGATGTTTTTAACACTATTATCGATAACATTACTGTATTGGATGGTCTTATCTTTCCACTAATCCAAATATACACACATTTTTGTATTAAAAAAAAGAGACAAAAATCATACACATGGATTTTTCGGCGAGCTTGAACAGTGTGGTACCGCCCTGTGGAATATATTCAGTGATTATTCTATTTCTATTGGCGATTATTCATTCATTTTTATCATCCTAACATGTTTTTTCCATTCAGAAAATGAAACAAGTCGTAATTTTTTTTGAAAATAATTGATTGAAATCTTTCGAAAATCAAACGTAATCGCATAAGAGATGCCTAGTAACCGATGAGCCATTTTCCACTTCAACAATTGTTGATTCTTTAAAAAGAATTGCAGTCGATCGATTTTTTTAATTAGCTCAAATCAACCTGTTTGAATCGAAGGTCAATGAATATTTAATCCGTTTTGTCTGCAAACCTGATGTAATTGCGGCATTTCTTCGGTAACCTTCGTCAAAAGTAGCTGGCCTAATGAAAACGAGAAAAAAATATTCTTAAAAAATTCATGTAAAATGTTACAAACTGAGAAACAATCAGCCATGCGTGAATTGAGCGCCCAAAACCCAAGGCTGTAGCTAAGAAGAACAAAACCGACTTGATATTCGCTTCTTTTATTTCTCGTCGTTCTTTTTTTTATATTCATTTTCATTATGAATTGAAAGCAAAACCCTTCAGACGATTTATTGGCTTCACAGTACGATTTAACGCATTGATAGCACTGATTTTCACCACAAAATCCTACGATGGAAAAAAAGCAGCAGCAGCTGCAACAACAATCAAGTTTATAAGATATTTGCCACACAATCCGGCAATGACATTGATGACTCTGCATCGAACAACAATTGAACGCGTGAGAATAGAAGACTGACGCTACCAGGTTTTTCGCAAAAGCGGGATAAAAATCAGTTGCACGCAAAAGGTTGTACGAAAGAGAGAAGTATATTGTTGTTGTAATCACCGCTTTAAAATTCAAAATGCGACGAAATAAAATGTTCCGTTTGCGTGTAACCTTTTGAAATGTCTCTTGCGTGCAACTGATTGTTATCCCGCTTTTGCGAAAAACCTGCTAGCGTCAGGCTTTTATTCTCACGCGTTCAATTTGCTGCGTTCGACTTGCGTGCTCTTGGTGTTGTAGATTTGACAACCAAGAATGTGAACATTGTAATAGCAATTCGGTTTATGCACAGAAGCAACTGTTAAAAGCTCGACGCTGAACGGTTTCGATTTGTTGTGGATTCGTCCTTTTCGTTGGTTCGTTTCGATGTTGCTGAGCGCAAATTTTTATCGAGCGAAAAAGAATGCGTAATATGTTGTGCGTGCTAACTGCTAAGTGAGTGTGATTGCTGAAAATTGATTGAAAACACTGGCAACACAACGTACAAATCAATGAATACCTATGAAAAATTACCATTGTGAGAGAAGTTTATTAGCGGCAAAATCACCGCAATTCATACATTTTCAGAGTCTAGACGCGCCACCCGTACCTTATCCCATTGTATGCAGTCGTTTGCTGTGTTTTATTTTTATTCATTGACAAGCCACGGGATTTTCGTTATGTTTAGAAATACGTTTTTGCAAATCAAACGGATTTTACCGTTAAATATGTGACGACTAACAGGAACGATGAAAACCGTGTGCATTGCTGAAAATAGGAAAGTGTGGGAAAATAGCCTCGGTTCAAATCTTTCGTTCGCCATTCTGGAATAACAACAACAGCAAAAATCACGGGAATAAGAAATCAGAGCGTGATTGTTTTCAATAAATCCAGCTCAGCCAATTGAGTTTTGGGCTTTTATTTGACAATCTGTTGATGAACAGCTCAAGCCACACACAAACATACACGTAAAATTGAAACGGTGTAAAGGCCAAAGTCGTAAAGCACAATAACATCGAACAGAAATATCGACCATTTTCTTGGGCATTTTGTGTTCATTATTTAAGCATCAGTTATTTCATCTGAAGCCGAGTTTTATGGCAAGTCATATGCCTATACCAATCCAAACACACACACACCGTCGCTATAACCGTTAAACCATCCAATCATCCATCAAGCAAACATGCATTGCCATAGCGCCGTAAAAATGGGCCAAACGAAAGGAAAACGAATTAATATGAGAGTACACGTAATAAAAGCATGAAAAGAAAAGAGATGTCGGGCGAGAGGGAGAGAAAAAAACGTACCCATTCAGTTTAATGCATCCAGTGAATTGAAAACAAATAAGAGCTTAAAAGATCGAAGCGAAACTGTATCGAGATAAAACACAAACTTCATCATATTTG